AACAAATCTCAAATGAGCAGATGTCAAACATTAAATATTTAATTATATAATGTAATATTAAATGGCAATAAAGATTCCATTGTCAGTTCTAATGTTAATTGCGATATTAATTTTATCTATGACTAATTAATTGATTCCCGTTCGTATACTTGTTATGTTACGCGTAGTTTCAAATATGTTTCTAGTTGCTCAATATTTTAGAAAATAAACGAAATATTCTGAATTCATTTTCTTTATAAAATTTCCATAAATGTGTATAAACATTTCAGAAGAGAGATATTTATATGTGGAATCATGAACTGATGAACAAAAATTACATGGTACTTTTGCCTAATTTGTTAGATGAATGAGAGATTTCCATGGAAATACATGTTTCGGGGTCCCCAGAAAAGTACTGAAAAAGTATTTTATTTAGTTCGCTCGTGCGTCTATGAACAACACAAGAACCTAAACTATTTGTAGGATGTTTCCCAAACTAAATATTCCTCAGTGAATATGGTTGAAATTGACGCGCCCGGAATCACTAACAATCATTCAATCAATTAATCCACAGGAACCCCTGAATCCTAATATGCGTCTCTCATTGTATGGTAAAACCAAAGGCCTCTCAGATTCTGAAACCGGCGCCACGGCTCAAACCCGGTTTTTCGCGCTCTGTAGCACTTCTGTGCCACTACATAAAACATCTACGAGCTACTTACGTAATCACATGGCATAGTGGCACTCAAACATCCCAAAGACTAGTAAAAACATTCTTGAGAATTCGTTAACGAAATTTGATGTTTAATTATTCAATTTGTACATAAATAAACAAAAAGTTTCCAACGGTACTGCTCCTCCAGACACGTCGTAGCGAAACTAATTGAAGTATTTTTCAGGAAGAAGGCTCAAGACACTTTTACAATATCTGCCAATTGACGTAACAGTTACCAGTTATTAGAGTGCAAAAGGTTAATGCGAAAAAAATCAAATGAGTAGACAGCGGCATTATTGTAGGAATTTACAACTATTCTGATCTCCAATATAATTATCAAGTAGCTAAGATTTTCACCACTTAAAAACAATATGAAATAATTTTAAACATATTAATATTTATAAATATTTATGTCCACTGCAATCACACTTAATGTCAGAAATATTATCATTTAGTGTTTTAACATGGCTTAAGAGCAAAATCCATACAACATTTAAGAGCACGCAAGAACGACAAAAGATTGTTTTTTTTATTACTGGCCTATGTTCAGATTTCAGACGTCGGTGACAAAAAAAAAAAAAAACAAGTGTGGACAGTATCAAATGAAATTGACAAAGAGAAGCATGAAGGCAGGGGATTTTCCAAAGTAGTGATTCTCTTTTTTTAACCATATTCTGGAAAAATACTATGAGTAGAATATAAATATAACTGTTTAATAACTGAACTATTTAAACACTAGCTAAACTATGGTGATTCTATCACACAAAAGAACCGTAAAATAGTTTCAAAAAAAAGTATAACATATGCGTCATAAGGAAAATCGAAAACCTCCAAATATTTTTTGTGTTATTCAGTACATGTTCTTCCACACCAACGAAATGAGGTAAATTTATAAATTTTGGAACTATACAATGTACTGTAGATATTAAGTTACACACATTTTTAAAATGTAAATGAAATGTTTTAAACATTAACCAAAATTGATAACTATATTATTACTGAGGACTATAGCTGCGTATTCTGGAACCCACATTAAGTTAAAAACGTAAAGCATCTCGTAGTTATAATGAGTATTGTTACAGAATGATACAAACTTTCTCGTACGTATCGTAGTTTTCTACGATCTCTTCAATCACCCATCTTCCAAGCTACCATCTATTACCACCTAAAATACTTTTTTTCACTTTTTTCTAAATTTTGTGGCCCCTAATGACAGAACTAATATGAAAGGTATTATAGAATAGTATAATTTGGTTCTTCGTTTTAAAAATTTTCTTTGAAAAATATGGAGCTTTTTTGAGAATCTATTAAGAGAGCGCTTCTGAAAATTATCAATTTTGAGCTGATTTTCACAGAGAAGTTTTGAATTTTTGAGATACTTTATTAGATATAATTTGAATCACATGCATTCAGAAATACCATAATCTATACAATTCGTCGGTAATGTAAATATTAATGTTGTCAGAGAGATACTATAAAAACTGCATTTATATGAGTTTTTAATAAACAAAAGAACAAAGCAAATCTAGCTTTTATGTCATCTTATGCAGTGCATTTAGCACTATCCGTTCAAAACGTGGAAAAAAATTGAAGCCGTTTTTGAATAAATATTTTTATTATTGCATATATTTCTCTCTAAATTACGTAAAAATCACTAAATGCTTAAAAAAATAACAGAATATTAATTAAAAACTAATAGTGGAAAACAAATTGTATTAGACGAAAAATCTTTATTCTCAATATTTTAGTTGTAGAGGGTTGCCAAAAAAAAACTTTGGCAATTTCTTGGGTTTGAAATAAAATACCCCAAAATTTCAAGAATTCTCTTCAAAGTTTTGTTATGAAAGAATATTTTAAAATTATTCAAAGAGATTTATTATATTTATAAATGTACTTATATTATATATTTATTATTATTTATTACATAATATATTTATTTATTAAATTTATTAAATGAATAAATGTCTGCCTAAAAAAAATAAATGACCCTCAAAACAATTTTAAAAAATCTTTTCAAAATTGCAGACCCTCGAGTCGGGCCAGATCAACTTAGGAATGATTATTTTGATGAAAATTCTAAGAATAATTTAGGTGCTTCTGTTCACACACGGGATCAACAACCGAAGGACGGACAGATAGATGTCTCGGAAAACCACGTTTTCGGTATCAGGGGGTGTCCAAAACGACAATATTTGAAGAGAATAACTCATAGTCACCAAACACAATCTTTAATATGAAGAAGCATGCAAGAAAATGGTTAAAAATTCAATTTAAACGGCATAGTTTGAAGAAAAAGGTTTTATTCCACATTTATAAATACAAATCATTTACAGTAACTTGCTCTGATAAAAACATTATGTATTAAACGTTATTAACGTAATAAATACCTTTATCAACTCTTATGAATGAAATTTTACGAGTTAATATTTACTAAATTGCACAAGCAAAGAAATGTAATTCATCCTTAGTGGAATTTAAGTGAGTTTAAAAAAGAATGAAGTGTTTAATTCTTATTAAATTTATATTTTTTAAATACATGTCTACGGGTTATAAAAACAACACAGCTCAATGTTTACTAAAGGGTTCAAAATACTAATGATAATTAATTTTCCAATTTTGAAAATAAAAAAACTTTGATTAAACACGTGAATTGATTGAACACGTGAATAACAATCTGGTACCTTTCAACATTGATACTCATTAACAAAATTTTAATGAATATGATTAAAAATGACAATGGTTATGGATTAATGAAAATACTTAAATGAATCATACTTCACAGAATCATTTCTGTACTATGTATTCTCGCTTCTAGGACCAATGCATCATTAAAATAGCTGTTCTGTTTTGTTTATCAGACACCATTAGCAGAGAACATGATAGTAAATCATTATTTGAAAGTATTCCACCAGTTCACAGAATCTGTTGCTAAAAATATTTTCTAGCATACTTATTTTCTACACTGTGGTATCTTCTTCTTCAAATGTCTTCCACTTCTACAAATTGGTTATGGTAGAAAAGATTAGAAAGTATCCTTTCTTAACTTTTGCTCTTCATTTTTGTTGCATCTACACCAAAGCTGACGAAGTTCCATTTCTCAACGAAATCAATTTCAACTTCTTGGTTTTTTATTCTCAAGTTCAAATGTCTAGAATAAATCATGTTTTTATGACGAAGAAAATATGTTCGGGTTGTTACTAATTTCAGAAAAGCAGAATCTAATATGAGACATTTTGTTATCGATTTGCCGTCGCATGCTAACCTTTAGAAACCGACTCATAGTGTCATTCATTATTATTTTTAATTATATCCACATCCATAATGCTTTTAACTAATCATTCATTTCATTTTCACACGAGTCTTTAAACAACACTGGTTTTATTATGTGAAATAAAATAGGAACTAAAAATTTGTTTTTAGAAATAGAAACTGTAAATTTGATCAATAGAAAACGCAAATGTTTAATTCGCTTATTTATTAACAATCTTCAAAAATATTCATTTAATTTTTTTAACACTCCTTAGGTAAAGTAACCCACTTTCTGCAAAAGTAAATATTCTGAATTGCTATTATTTTTTAACATTTCTTCACACCTCTAAAAAAAGATAAGAAGACGAGACAAAAAGAACGAGCTCTCTAAGTACATTATGTAATAATTGCGAATTGTATTCCGAATAGCAAATCTACTGAGGACAAAAAAAATGATTGTATTGTAGTGAATATTGCTCTCGTCTCAATATAAAACAACTATATTGCAATATTCTATTCAACACTCGACGAAATGGAGTCAAGTAAAACAGGAAAATTAATTGGTCTAAATAATCTATCTAATTAAAGATAGATTCATCTCCTGAAATTCAAGATAGTTTTGTAATTTTACACAAAACATTACAATTTTTTGATTGCATCACATTTCAAACGACTTTTCCATCTACGAATCCTTTTTTTTTTTAAAAAATGTCAAGTAAACAATTTCAAAAACTTATTTCATAAATATTTGCGGCGGTATGTCAAAACTTTCTCCCCCCCTCAAATACTTCCTGGATCTGTTCCTGGATCACTGGCTAACAGTTTTTTATTCATGCCTTGCGTAACTTCCAAACAGAACCTCAATTCTTCCAATTCCTGTAGTACACTTCAAGAATGGAATTTTGGATTTCACAAACTAGTTTGCACTATAAAAGTATATTTAACAAACATTGTGAAACAAATATTATTTAATTCTTTGGTTTTGCGATCATTCAAATGTTTTGTGTCAGTCTTTGTTGGGTGGTTCAGAAAATGAATCCTTCCTTAACCTCTTCACCTTTCAATTGAAGGAAGAGTGTTGTAGAACATTCTGTTCAAGAGCGCAGTGTAGCCTGTGCCTAGAAAAAATAAGAAAAAATCATTAAATGGACTGTGGGCATAAAAGCTAAAAAGCTCACGTTTTCCCAAAACTCTGTTTCATGACGTTGATGTGATGGAGAGAAGAGGTTCCATGTGCGTAAAACATTCCTCTTCGGAAGAGATGCATAACATTTTTCGTACAGACCTCATTCAAAATTATTCTACTGACGAAAACCCTTTAATGTTGATGATTTCAGATAAATTTTGCTTGAACTTGTAATTATAAATGTTAGTATTATCCTGTCAAATATTCGTCAAGATAAGTGAACAGAATTTTTATTGATATTTTAATTTTTTTATTACTGACCAAATCGTACCAGAAAGTCTGAGCTGATGTAACACCTTTTGCTATTTACAAAGATTTTTGGATCTTTTCGTATTGGACTGATTTCATAGCAGGACGTTTTGCATTATTCCTTTGCCCTGGAATACTTGTTCTCGTGGTAGTGTGTCGATTGCTTCACGAGGAACGCGATACGAGTTAAAACCCCAAAACCTGTAGGTCATTTGCCTATGGAAATAATTTACTTAAACGAGAACAAATACTTCTTGGCATCGAATTTTCTTAAAACTGACGTTGTTACCACCATTCGTAATTGAAAATTATTACGTTGTTTACATATATATTTAATTAAGAACAAGAATACGTAATTTTGAGCTAAAACGTGCAAATTGCATTTCTCCCCCATTTGTCACACACAGTTTCTGCGTGAAATAAATAAATAAATAAATAAATAAATAAATAAATAAATAAATAAATAAATAAATAAATAAATAAATAAATAAATAAATAAATAAATAAATAAATACTGAAGCCATGGAATAGCACTCAGCACTCCTACTCACATCATCCATGCGCGCTAGGCGTCGGACTCGGATATGTAGTGGGGGAGGTCCGAAGTGACGTCTGGGGCGACGGTCCCCAGGGTTGGAGGCGCGGACGGCGACGGAGACGGCGGCGGCGACGGTGGCGCCGCCTCGTCGCAGCGGTAGATGTCGCAAGCGTCAGTGCGCGCCGCTTTGAAGACCTCTCGCAGCTGGAGTGCCTCGGAATCTTGTCCTGGCTTCTGAATCCAAGAGAAACTTCGTTAAGAAGTGTTTTACTCATGAAAGCGTACACAGTCAGCACATTACTTTCATGTAAATGTACATTTAAGAAAGTATCATAAACGAATATAAAATTGAATGTACATGCGCAAGAGATGCAAGAGTCAAAGCTTTACGGGGATATTTGGAATGAATGATAAATGAATGAAATATCTTGATGGATTGGTGAATATGACTTAATGATATAATAATTAGTGACGTGGAAGCGGGACAACCTCTACATGAAATCTATATTAATTTTAATTGAAGCATTAAATTTAATGTACAAATATATTAAGCCCTTTTAACAAGTTCACAATTAAGCATAAAAAGAACAGTTGAGCACATAAAGGTGCATGTCACCTTTTAGCCAAAGAAACGTGGAGAAAGAACACAAGCTCCGCGCATAAAAAGTCGAATCCTGCACAAAAAAAGCGCACAGAAGTAGAAAATCTGTACAAGAGATTCAGGAAAGCTTCAACCAACCCAAGAGAGTCTAGAAAATATCCTTCACAAGTCAGAATAAAGGCCAAGGAAACATAAAGAGAGCGTAGGTAGGAAGAGATTTAGACTTTGATACTCGAGAAACAGACGAGAAGCCGGAACAAGTGGTACCGCAGTAAAGTGCAATCCAGTACAAGAAAAAATTCTAAGCAAGCAGCCCAGAAATAGGACAATTAAGGTTACGTAGAAAAAGAAACAAAGGAGCACAAAGCACAAACAAGCGTGCGCAGAAAAAGCATAAATGAACACATAATCACAAGCTACCGCAGAATAGCACAATGCTAATGCTGATAATCACAAAGCCTACGCAGAAAATCAGAAGTAGACATAGGTAAGACGCTCGCGCAGAAATACTCGAAGCACGAGCCAGAAAAAGAGCCCTTAATAAAGTAAAATCTAGCACAAGCGAGCACATAAACAAGCACAAGCGGGCCAGAAAAGGCAGAAGCGAGTGCTGAGAAAGATAAAGCGAGGGCAGAAAAAGCAAAAGTGAGCAAAGAAAGACACACGCAACCACAGAAAACGCATAATTGAGCACAGAAAAGACACCTAAGTAAGGGTACAGAAGAGGGCCAAGTACAGAAAAACGAGCGCGGAAAAGCCACAACGAGTGCAGAAAAAACACAATCGAGTGCAGAAAAAAGCACAATCGAGTGCAGAAAAACCACAATCAAAGTGCATTAAAAACACAATCCAGTACAGAAAAAAGCTCAAACGATTGCAGAAAAAGCCCAAATGAGTGCAGAAAAAGCCAAACGAGTGTAGAAAAAGCACAAGCGAGTTTGGAAAAAGCACAAACGAGTGCAGAAAAAGCACAATCGAATGCAGAAAAATCACAAACGACTGGCAGAGAAGCACAATTCAAGTGCATAAAAAACACAATCCAGTGCAGAAAAAGCTCAAACGAGTGCAGAAAAAGCCCAAATGAGTGCAGAAAAAGCAAAAGCGATCGCAGAAAAAGCACAAATGAGTTGCAGCAAAAATCACAATCGAGCGCCGAACAGGCAATCGAGCGCAGAGAACGGCACAATGGCGACTCACGTGTCGTGCGCCAGCGCAGAGGCGGGCGGAGAGCGCGGGCGCGTGCGGGCGAGCGCCGGCGCGCGCCAGCTCGCACAGCAGACGCGCCTCGCACGCAGCGTCCTCGAGCGCGCGCGGCCCCCAGCGCGCCAGCAGCGCGTCCTCCAGCCACGCGCCCGCCCGCGCCGCGGCCTCCGCCTCCGACGCCGCCCCCGCCTCCAGGGAGCGCTGGCGCCCGCCCGGCGGACTCGGCCCGGGCGCCGACCTGCAACACGGCGGCGACACGCTCGCTATTCAACCGGCTCCGCGATTCCGGGCGCGACCACTACTAGGGTCCTTATTCCCGAAAGTGTAGCGCGTGTTTTTGTGTTGTGGTGGTGGTGGTGGAGGAGAAGGAGAAGGAGGGGCGCGACAAGAATTATTGGTCCCGAAAGTGTAATGCATGTTTTTCACTGAGGGGGGGGGGGAAATACGAAATTAAAGGACGAAATTAAAGGTAACCTAAGTTAATTTGAATGGGTGAAGTCAGAACGGGAAAAGTTATGTTTTATAAATTCTAAGAAAAATGTGTTTAGTCTAGGCTACATTTCAGGAGGAGGGGCGCGACAAGAATCATTGGTCCCGAAAGTGTAATGCGTGTTTTTCACTCTGGGGGGGGGAGGAAAATACGAAATTAAAGGTAACCTAAGTTAATTTGAATGGATGAAGCCAGAACGAGAAAAGTTATATTTTATAAATTCTAAGAAAAATGTGTTTAGTGTAGGCTACATTTCAGTGGGAATGATTTTTCATGTTTTTTATGAACAATTGATATGCCCTGGTTTTAATGATGTAACAAAGCACCACGACTTTACAGTGAAATTGATTTAAATAAACAGATATCTGAGAATTTATAAAATGTTTAAATTAAAATGAATCACTTATAGAGTTCTGGTTTTCACCCATTCATTTATGTTGTCTGTTGTGAAAAAGGACGTTGTGCTTTACCCAACGAGCTAGAATATACTAGATAGTGTGTCTCTCCCTATTGTTTCAGCGCTCTTGGTGGAAGTTCCCTGAAGTAGTGGCCGCCATGTTTTTTTGAAGTCAAAACATATTAATGGCGGTGTAAGCGTTACTACCCAGCGCCGTAAATGCTATACTGTGATTTTCGCAAGTCTGCCCCTGACATGTATCAGCTGTTGACAGTTTCATCCAAGCGAGATTATATGTCGCTACAGTAACGTCATTACGGTGAGATTCAACCTCCTGATTGGATGAAATCCTGAACAGCTGAGGTCTCCCAGGGGCAGAGTTGCATAAATCGCAGTATATAGTTCTTTGTTCCCCAGAGGGCGCTGCTTTGACTGCAAAAACATGGCTTCAATTTGCTTCAAAGATTGAGGCGCTTCAGTCACTCTATGTGGTATATTATAGCTCGTTGATTTCACCTAAAAAAGCTATCCCCTGCGGGACTCTTTGTGGATCGCGACGACAGCGACAGCGACAACAGCACTTACGCCGTGGAGTTGATGTTGAGCACGGTTGGTGGCAGCGCGGCCAGGAACAGCCCCAGGGGGATGAAGGCGGCGGCCATGTGCAGCGCCTTCTTCACCAGGCCTGCCAACCCCTTGGGCTTGCCCCCTCCGCCAGGCCCGCGGTGGTGCTCCTGGCCTTCGTCGTCTTGCGGGCCGCGGTCTTTGCTGGTGTAGCCGCTCGCCTCCTGCAAGCAGGTTTTTACTCTTTGGAATCTTCTCGTCGAAATGGTGAGGAGTAGGGCCCGGATGTTTATGGCATGTCAGATGTTTTCTTTGTATTATATTCATGGACAACATACGTTAAGCATGATTTTATCTACAATAACTAAAATTATGCAATGTTCACGTCCCATATACACTCATATCTTAGTTTTTGAACCCCTTTTGTCATTTTTCGTTAAATGTTCATATTATGGTCATGTTTTTCAATGAATTTTCGTATTTTTTTAATATTTATATCTTCTTGATTCCACTTTTGCATATTTGCTGGCAGTCGTTTCAAAAAGATTTTTCAGTCTCCTAACTGTTATCCAATTTCTTACAGTTTTATATAATTATTACGTCTTTCCTATAAATATGTGTGTTGTGAATTAAAAGGGTAGACTACATAGGAGAAAGAGAAAGTAAAGAAAGCACCAGATGCATAAATAAATAAATAAATAAATAAATAAATAAATAAATAAATAAATAAATAAATAAATAAATAAAAACGTACATGGTGGTAGATGGGCGAGGGTATGCGGTAGCCTACAGGATCGTCGTGTCCCACGTGATATGGATAAGGGTGGCCGCTGGTGTGCAAGAGACTGCCGCCCTTGCCCCCTTGCCCCTTTCCGCCTCCTGTAAACGATAAAAGTACCATCTCGATGACACACGTCTGTTCACCTTTTCCCCAAGGACAGCAATACGAGGGCGGCATCCAAGTCGATGTTTTCAAAGCATTGATGTTTGTTATAAAGCCAGCAATGAATTTAAGATCTAATATTTAACACCAATGTTTTTACATGGTTGATATTTTATACTTGAATGAAAAAGTACCGTGATAATTTATCGTTTCAAAACATTGATGGTTTTGGGGCTATGTTTTTATTAACGTTGATGTTTTAATTTTGAACATGGATGTTTTGTTGTCGATGCCGCATTCCCAGACTGAAGACTCGGGGGCGGGTCATAAATGATTAAATGGAACACAATGAACATACTAGTTTTCATTTACAAAGGAAAACACACGATATGAGATATTACATATTGTATTTTCCTTTTTTGTTCTCATATTATATTTCCATCAAATTTCGTCTGCGTCCATCAATGTGATTTTAGCTTTCCAACCAATTGGTTTGGAACAATCACAAGAATAGACACACTCAGTTGCGTTAATATAATTGGTGCTGCTGCGTGAATATGTACCCTCTAGACGAATATTTTGATA